TCGTCGTCGTCGTGGTGAGCCCGCTGTCTGTCCATCTTGGGGTCGGGTTGCCGCGGGTCGGCGTGTGCATCGCCAGCGTCGCCACTGGCCAGGCCGACAGTCCGCCGCTTGCCAGGGCCCTGTTTGCCGGCCTTCGAGACGCGCGTGTTCCACTGGCCCAGGTTCTTCTGCAGGCTTCGAATGAAGGCCTCCCTCGACGAGGCCCCCGGGGCGTTCCCGCAGGTTTTAGGAGCCTCTGGGACTGCTCGGTGGTCTTCGGGGCCATTCCGAGGCCCCCCAGAGGTCATAGCAGGTTTTCGGGTGCCTTCCGGCGCAAACTGAATCGCCATTCGCAGCGCAAATCATCGCCCCCCCCCTTTCTTGCCCCCCCCATCCCTTCCTCCGATCCCTTCGCCCTCGTTCTCCCCCGTTATCTGTCGCCCTTCGTTTTTCCAGGGCTTCGCCAGCCGCGCGTGGCAGGGAATGAATGTACCCCCCAGAAAAGGGGGCGCGATCGGAGACGAAGAGGGAGGGTGTCCAGGGTTCGGGATGTGCATATTGAATGACACGCGAGCAGGTAGAAGCGAACAGTTTGTAAATAATTGTTGATGATGTTGTTGTCGTCGTCGTCGTCGTCGTCGTTGTTGTTGTTGTTGTTGTTGTTGTTGTTGATGTTGATGTTGATGTTGATGTTGATGATGTTGTTGTTGTTGTTGTTACATTGTCAGTTATGAAGAATAATTATGGTTTGTCCGCCCTCGCCGGTGCGCGCCGTTTTTCCTGAGTCAAAGTGTGCCCTTCGACGCTCGCACCCTGTTTTTTTTTTCCACGGGGAATCTTGGTGCTCAAACTGCGCCCCTGGCCCCCCGGATTACAACAAAAATTGCTCCCGCTTGAGACTTCTTCCAAATTTATCCGCAAGGGCTTCGCCCCCTGCCGCCGGCCCCCTCTCTCGGAAAATGGGCCATGGAAGAGCAGGTTTTGGACCCTGACCCCGCGGATCTGCGTGAAGGGTGGCACCGAATTTCAGAAATGTGGCAAATCCCTTTTGTTTTTGGACCCTGACCCCGCGGATCTGCTTGAGGGGTGGCACCGAATTTCAGAAATGTGGCAAATCCCTTTTGTTTTTGGACCCTGACCCCGCGGATCTGCGTGAGGGGTGGCACCGAATTTCGAACATGTGGCAAATCCCCTGTGTTTTTAGACCCTGACCCCGCGGATCTGCGTGAGGGGTGGGACCGACTTTCAGAAATGTGGCAAATCCCTTGTGTTTTTGGACCCTGACCCCGCGGATCTGCGTGATGGGGTGGGACCGACTTTCAGAAATGTGGCAAATCCCCTGTGGTTTTGGACCCTGACCCCGCGGATCTGCGTAAGGGGTGTCGATTTTGAGCCCCCCCAGCAATTCAGACAACGCGCCCAGGTGGTGCTAAAAATCTGGTTTGGGCCTCCCTCCCCTCGCGCGGTCAATCAACTAGTTACAGTAACCAGCAAGAAGCAGAACTGTAACACTGGAAACTACAAGCTACAACTGGCACAGGAAACTGCGAATCACGGGCCTGCAGCCTGGTGGCCCCGCAAGGGGGCCGGCGGAATCAGGACCCCCGCCCCCGCCTAAGACTTCCTCACAATTTACTCCGGACCGGTGCTCCCGCCTGTGACTTCCTCGCAATTTAGTGAGGGCCCCCGCTCGCATCTGAGACTTCCTCACGATTTACTTAGGAAGCGCGCCCCTGCGTGAGATTTCTTCGCAATTGAATCAAGATTTCACCGCAATTTAATCAAGACCCCCGCTCCCGCCAGAGAGCCCTCTTCACATCTCATTCAGGAGTTGCGCTCTCGTTTGTGACTTCCATGCAATGTGTTCAGAAATCGCGCTTTCGACGCTCAGGAGACGCTGCGCCAAGGACGCCGCTACAACTTACGTAGTAATCGCGCTCTCGCCATACCCAGACATCCCGCTTGAATGTCCCGCCCGCCCGACCCGCCCGTCAGGGGATCGCCCGCCCTCCATGGGCTCCCGCCCGAGACTTCCGTTAGGAACGGCGCTTTCGCCTAGGAGTTCTTCAAACGTTCGCGTTCTTACCTTCCTGCTCCTCTTCCCTTTCCCTCCTCCCTCCTCCCTCCTCTCTTCCCTTTTCTCTCCGTCCTCTCTCTCCTCATCCTTATGCCTCTCTGCCCTATATCCTCTCCCTCCTCCCTTCTCCCTACCCTCTCCTGCCTCCTCCCTCCCCCTTTTTTCTCTCTCCCTTTTTTTTTTTTTTCTCTCTCTCTCTCTCTCTCCCTCTCTCCCCTCTCTCTCTCTTCCTCTTTCTCTTTCTCTACCCCTCTTATATGTGTTTGTTTTTGTTTCTCTCTCTCTCTCACACACTTTCTCTGTTTCTAATCAGCCGCCCCCTTCTTCGCTCCTTCTCTCCTGGCTGTGTCCCTCTTCCTTCGTCCCTCCCCCTCCGTTCCTCCCACTCTCCCTCGTTCTCCTTTTTTTTTGCAGGGCTCACACCAACTCCAATGGCGGGCGCATGTACGCCCACGAAAGATTGTCCGCCCGTTCAGGTTTGCCTGCCTGTCTAAGCCCCCCGCCCCCCGCAAAGAGAAAACATCCCCCCAAAGGGAGTGTGATCGAAGACAAAAAGGGCGGGTACCGAGAGTGTGGGGAAGTCGTTTCGAATCACACGCGGGCAAGTTAGAACGAACAGTATTATAATGATTGTTGCTGTTGTTGTTGTTGTTGTTGTTGTTGTTGTTGTGGTTGTTGTTGTTGTTGTTGTTTTTGTTGTTGTGGTGGTGGTGGTGGTGGTGGTGGTTGTTGTTGTTGTTGTTGTTGTTGTTGTTGTTGTTGTTTTCTGTTGTGTTGTTGAACTTTCGCTCTCGCGGTGGATCCCCCTGCGGTTGATTTTTGGAATCGAGCTGTCGCTCGAGATTTCCTCCCGATTCATGCAGGACGCACGCTTCAGCAACCCGCCTGCTCGACCTGGGCGCCTGGGCCCTCCTTCCCGACCCGCCTGGTAGGGTCTACCCGCCCGGTCTGCCCGTCTGTTTTGCCACGTGTTTTCTGCTCGTAGCCCCTCTCCTCTTACTCTCTCTCGTGCTCCACCCTCCTCCGTCCCCCTTGCCCATTCCTTCCATTCGTCCTCTCTTCCCCTGCCTTAGGGGCAGCGGAAATTACACGTCGCAGGACAAAAAAATGTACCCCCAATGGGGGACGGTCGAAAACGAAGAGGGCGGGTATCGAGGGTTCGGGTTTTACGTGGTGAGTGGCACGCGAGCAGATACGAGCGGCCAGTTTTGAAATGATTGTTTCTGCTGCTGTTGGTGAAATTGCTATTGAATACGAGCTTGAGTATGTTTTGTATATGTTTAATTTTTCGTCCAAAATTCCCCTGTAGGGGGACAGGCCCGACCTAACCCTATGTTTCCTCAGATGTGTGCTCGATCGTCGTCTACCCTTCGCCAGACATGCGACGCACTGATTTGTTCAGGACGGCGTCCCCCGAAGTCCAGACCCCTTCCCCGGGGCCGGGTTTTCATCCCGAGTAGTTTTTCGACGTTCCCGGGGCCTGGCGAGGATGGGGCCGCAAACAGGACAACATTTGCCGTCCTGATTCTTTTGCGGCGCGATCATGTCTGCGCAGCCACCTTCCAGGTCTTCTTCCCAGCTGTTCCTGGGAAGTGGCGTCGGTTTGTTTCGGTGTCTGTTTCCCCCTCCTCGCCATAGCTCCGCGGCGCGCGCTCGGGGGGAGCGAGAAGGAGACGGCCTTCTCGGAAGGCAGGAGGGGCTTCTCAGAAGCCCCTCGCGCTTTCTGCGAGGTTTTTTCGGGTGCCTTCGGGCCCAGATCCCCTCGGGTCATGAAAAAATCACGGCGGGAGGTTTCTCGCTATTCTCGACCCCTGGGGGCCCTTGCGGGGCCTCGGTACCGCCAACAACAAGATTCAGAATCAGAAGCAGGTCCTAGGGAAGGGGTCGAAACCTTCGGGGTCGACGTTTTGAACAAATCATGTCGTCGAAGGTCTGGGTATTGCTACCCTCGCCTCGTTTTCGCCTGTTTGGGCCGCCTCGGAGGCCCTCGTTGCCACCGCCGGATTCGCCTCAAACTGCTGGTGAGAACGCACCACGGGAGAGGTCCGGGGAGCAGCGGTATCTGTTCCCTTTCTGGTTTCCCCAGGGGGGCGAAGGGGGGAGCAGGGAGGAAGGAAGGCGGAGGAGGACGAGGAGGACGAGGAGACTTTTCAGAAGGGGGGGGCTTCCGAGCCTTCTGAGAAGGCCCGCCCCTTCGCGCTGCCCCCCCCCACTCCCCCCAGGCTCCCCGCCGAGTCCCTGCGTGGGCCCGTGCAGGTCCAGGCGCACTTCCCGCGGGGCCGGTCTCTCATGCCGAGGCTTCCTTTGGAGGTCCCTGGGCCAGGTGGGGGTCCCCACAGAGGCCAACAGTGCCGAGAAATTCCCAAGCCCTCTCGCGTTGTGAAAAATCACGACGGGCAGCTTCTCGTTATGTTGCGCCTCCGGGTGCCCTGGCCGAGCCCCGGGACCGTAAACACTGACTCAGGCTGAAAAGTCGGTCCCGAGGAAGAGGTCCAGACCTTTCGGGGTCGGCGTTGTGAAAAAATCACGACGTGGGGGGTCTGGGTTGCCAGTCGTGTTTTTTTGTTTCACGACGCGACCTTGGGATCCGACGTCGCGAAAGGAGTCCCAGAGCCCATCTGTTTGCGGCAATTTTCGAGCCGAAATCGATCGGTGGTGGTCCTGGTGCCCGAGACTGGGCGAAAACGACCAGTGTGAAACATATGCGACGCCCAGGTCTCAAGCGATAGGGTCGGAGGATCGTGCCGCATCGCCGATGCATCGGCGTTGCGGCTTGATGCGGAGCCCGACTTCCTCCACGCCGATGGCGCCGGTGCATCGCTGACGTCGCCGATGCATCGGCGATGCGGCGCGATCCTCCGACCCCATCTGCTCGGTCCCCATCCACGAGGCCTCTATCAGGGCAGGAGGTCTGGGTTGGGTGATCGGCCGACGCCGCCCCAAGCCGTCCACCCGAAGCTGACCGCGACGCCGGGCGCCACGCTGCGCGGGGGCCCCAGGCTGGGCGAGCACACGGACGAGGTGCTCGGCTCCTTGCTCGCACTGCCGCCCGGGGAGATCGCGGCCCTGAGGTCTCGCGGCGTCATCGCCTGAGGCCAGGACCCGCTTCGATCCGATCGATCGGGCTCGACAGTTATCGATTCCTGCCGGCGCTGTCCGGTGCGACTCCGGCATGCCGAGACGGTCCGATGCGGCCCGATGCCTGCACGCCGCTGCTGCACCGCCCGGCGCCGCCGAGCCGACGCGGTTCCGACGCCGTGCCGCTGCGGCCCGAGCCGACGCGCAGAGTCCGTTCTTGCGGGGCCCGGCCTCCCGGGATGGGATGCGGGCGGCGGGGTCCTGCCCGAGGCGCGCTGCCGCCCGCGCGGGGAGCTCGGCGGCCCATGAGATTTGGGGGAACGAAGAATGATAGGAATGAGCATAAAAACTCGGAGGTCCGCGCGGATTTCTCGCATCCGCGCTGGACCCCCCCCCGGCGGCGCCTCCTGCGCCGCCCCTGGCGCGCTCCGCGCGCCAGGGAGGGGGCTCCAGCGCGGATCCGAGAAATCCGCGCGGACCTCGGAGCTGTTATGGTTGTGTCATTCGTAGTTCCCCTGTGCGAGGCCTCGCGGGGTCGGCGCCCGAGGCGTGCTCCCGCGGCCCTCTGTTGGTTCCGAGCGCGCGGCGGCGTCCGCACCGTGCTGCCGGTCCCCCCCCCTCTCGCCGCGCCCTCCGCACCTCCACGGCCTCCCTCCCGCTCCCCGTCGCCGCTCCACCTGTGCTCCGTCTCCTCCTCCGTCGTCTTCCTCCTCCTCCTCCTCCTCCTCCTCCTCCTCCTCCTCCTCCTCCTCCCCCTCCCCCCCGCATTGGCCCTCATCGTCCCCCGGCCCCTCTCCCTCGCCTTCTCCGCCTCCCTTCTCCCCCTCCTCCCTTTTCCCCTCCCCCTGCCTTCTCTCCCCCATCCCCTTCCTTCGTTTCCCCCCCCTGCCTTCCCTTCCCTTTACTCGCCTCTCCTTCCCACCTTCTCATCGCCCATATTCGAATCGAATGGGATCTTGTCACTAAGCCATTTCCTGTTCCCCGTCCCCTGCTACTCTCGTCCCATTCCCGCGTCCCGACTCAGTGAAGGTATCTGACCTGCTTTAGACACCTGGGGCACTCGCAACCCACTTATGAGTTACGTCAGGCCAGGTACATAGGTCGCCTTGGCATCCACTGATGACCCCCTACATTAGCATCCCCCGCGCCGATCCCAGCAGGGGATGTCGGCGAGGAGGGACGGCGATCGACGCAGACGACGCCGACGACGACGACGACGACCACCGACGACCACCAACGACTATCGACGACTATCGACGACGTCGACGACGACTATCGACGACGTCGACGACGACTATCGACGACGACGATGAGAACGACGACGACGACCACGACGACGACAACTATCGACAACGACGATTACCGACGACGACGACGACCACGATCACGATCACGACCACGACCACGACCACGACCGCGACCACGACCACGACCACGATCACCGACGACGATCGACGACGACGACGACGACGACGACGACGACGACGACGACGACGACGACGACGACGACGACGACGACGACGACGACGACGACGACGACGACGACGACGACGACCCCCCGAGGCACCGCCGCCGCCCCCGCCGGCGAGGGCGAGGCCGCCGTGACGGCGGGCGAGGCTCGCGACGCCCTGAGGGCGCTGCTGACCCGCGAGGCCGGGCGCGGGCGGGCGCGCGGGCGGGGGTGGGCCGCGGCCGCCGCCGCCGCCTCGCCCCCGCCAGCGGAGGCGGAGGAGGGTCCGGGGAGGGACGCCCAGACCCCCCCGGGGCGTGGCGAAGCAAAAATCACGACGGGGAGTTTTGTCGCTGCTCTCGGCCGCCGGGGGCCCTTGCCGGGCCCCGGGAGCGTCAGAGAACGACTCGGCATGCAAAACTGGTCCTGGGGCAGGGGTCCAGACCTCGGGAGGTCGACGTCGTGAAAAAAACATGACGTCGGAGGTCTGGGAAGGTACCCATACTGCCACCCTCGCCCCGTTATCGCCTTTTTGGACCGCCTCGGAAACCCTCGTCGCCACCGCTGGACTCGCCTCGAACGGCTGGTTAGAACGCACCCCAAGAGAGGTCCGGGGAGCAGCTGTATCTATACATTTGGGTGTCCTCAGAGGAGGGAAGGAGGGAAGAGGGAGGACTGAAGGCAGATGAGGAGGAGGAGGAGAAGGAGGAGGAGGAGGAAGCAAGGCGGGGAATAAGGAGGAGGAGGAGGAGGAGGAGGACGTGGAGGGGGCGGGGAATAAGGAGGAGGAGGAGGAGGAAGGAGGAGGAGGAGAGGAGGAGGAGAGGAGGAAGAGGAGGAGGGAGGCGGAAGGCGGAGAAGGAGGAGGAAGAAAAGGAGGAGGAGGAGGAGGGGGCCCCCAAAGGGTGTGGTGACCACACCGCGTTTTGAGTCGGTGGGGATTCGGGATTTCCGCACCGTATTGGGACCCGGGTCGTTCTCCGAGGAGGTCTCGGGTGACCTTGGCCTCTCGGGCTTCAAAACCATGTTGGGATGGGCGGGTGGTGTGGCGATGACTCTTGGAATTTCGAGCTCACCGCGCGATCTGTCACATCCCGAATGGCTGCTGGACGATCAGAAGGAGGAGGAGGACGAGGAGGAGGAGGAGAAGGAGGAGGAGGAGGAGGAGGAGGGACGAGGAGGAGGGGGAGGAGGAGGAGGAGGAGGAGGAGGAGGAGGAGGAGGAGGAGGAGGCTGAGGAGGAGGGAGAGGAGGAGGAGGAGGAGGAGGAGGAGGAGGAGGGAGGAGGGGGAGGAGGAGGAGGAGGAGGAGGAGGAGGAGGAGGACGAAGAGGAGGAAGAGGAATAATAACAATAATAGTAATGAAAATAAGATTAGTAGTACTTATAATAATACGAATAAGACTAATATAGTAATACGACGAACAAGAGGAAACATAATAATGATAAGAAAGAGACGAATACTGATACTATTATTAACATTACAATAATACTACTACTAATAATAATGTTAATGATAATGATAATACTCATACGAATAATAATAGTAGTAATAATAATGATAATACTATCCATGATGATGATCGTAGTAATAATAATAATATTAATAATAACACTAGTAATAAGAATAGTAATAACATCAATGCTACGAATAATACTACTAATACTAATAATAAGACTATCAATACTAATACTAGTAATAACAACAATACTATTAATACTACTGAGCATAATATTAATAATAATAATAGTAATACTAGTAATAACACTAATAATAATAATACGAATGCTAGTAATAAGAATAAGGCTAATACTAATACTAATAATGCTAATATTAACAATACTACTAATACTAATAATCATAATAATAATAATAGTAATACTAATAATAATAATACTATCCATACTAATAATATTAATCATACTAATAATACTAATACTAGTAATACTAATACTGACAATGATGATACTAATACTAATAATAAGAACAATAACAAGAAAAAAAGAGGATGAGGATGAGGAGGAGGAGGAGGAGGAGGAGGAGGAGGAGGGAGGAGGAAGAGGAGGAGGAGGAGGAGGCGGAGGAGGAGGAGGAGGAGGAGGAGGAGGAGGATAGGAGGAGGAGGAGGAGGATGAGGAGGAGGCGGAGGAGGAGGAGGAGGAGGAGGAGGGAGGAGGAGGAGGTGGAGGTGAGGAGGAGGAGGGGGAGGAGGAGGAGGGAGGAGGGAGGAGGGAGGAGGGAGGAGGGAGGAGGGGAGGGAGGAGGAGGAGGGAAGAGGAGGAGTGAGGAGGGAGGAGGGAGGAGGAGGGAGGAGGGAGGAGGGAGGAGGGAGGAGGGAGGAGGGAGGAGGGAGGAGGGAGGGAGCAGGAGCAGGAGGGAGGAGGGAGGGAGGGAGGAGGAGGGAGGAGGGAGGAGGGAGGAGGGAGGAGGGAGGAGGAGGGAGGAGGGGAGGAGGAGGAGGAGGAGGAGGAGGAGGAGGAGGAGGAGGCAGGAGGAGGAGGAGGAGGAGGAGGAGGAGGAGGAGGATGAGGAGGAGGCGCGGAGGAGGAGGAGGAGGAGGAGGAGGAGGAGGAGGGAGGAGTTATGAGCTGGAAACAGGCCCGGGGGGGCGCTGGTCAGGGGAGACGGCAGGGGGAACTCCCAGGGGGGCGAGCTGAGGCAACGGTAGTGGGCCTTCCACGGTTGGACGCAGCTCGGGCCAACACAAGGGCGTTTGGACCCTGGGAGGGGTCTGGGGACCGGTTGGTTTGGGGTTGATGTTGTCTCAGCTCGCCCTCATCTGACCATCCTCATCATCATCCTCCTCCTCGTCGTCGTCACCGTCGTCGTCATCATCGTCATCATCATCGTCGTCGACATCACCATCGTCCTAATCCTCATGGTCCTTCTTATCAACATCCCCATCACCACCATGATCGTCATCCTCATCATCAGCATCATCATCAGCATCACCATCATCATTATCATCATCATGATCATCATCATCATGATCATCATCATCATCATCATCATCATCATCATCACCATCAGCATCACCATCATCATCATCATTATCAGCAGCATCATCATCATGGTCGTTTCGATTGAAGTTTAATGCCAGATCTGGGCGTGCTGCATCTCATCTCCTCCCCCTCTTCCTGCTCCTCCTCCTCGCTCTCCTCCTCCTCCTCCTCCTCCTCCCCCTCCTCCTCCTCCTCCTCCTCCTTCTCCTCTTCCTCCTCCTCCTGCTCCTCCTCCTCCTCCCCTTCCTCCTCCTCCTCTTCGTCATCATAGCCATTATTTACTCGCTTCGCTCAGACCGCTGGCCCGTATTGTGCCATCGCAGGCGTTTACCTGCGCGCTCGTGGCCTCCTAGAGCCTCGTGGGGGCCGTTTTGGGACCTCTTGTCTCCTCTTTTTGGTCCTCTTGGGGGCCTCGTGGGGCCTCCAGGGGGCCTCCTGAGCTCTCTTGGGGGCCTCTTGGGGCCTCCTGAGGGCCTCTCGGGGCGGAAGGCTCGACTTGGTGGTTCGTGCTCCCCCTCTTGGGCCCCTCTTGGGGCCGTCTTGCGTCCCTCTTGGGCGATCTTGGGCACCTCTGGGGCCGTTCTTGGACCGTCTTGAGGCCCTCTTGGGCCGTCTTCGGGCCCTCCTGGGCCCTCTTTGGGCTCTCTTGGAGGCCTCTTGGGCTGTCTTTGGGCGATATTTGGAGCCTCTTGGGCCGTCTTTGAGCGTCGGAAAGCCGAACAGATGAGAACGCCCAAATCCTTCAAACACCACAGGGACATCGATGGTTTTTGCCTCTTGAGACGCTTCTTCGAGGCCTCTTTGGGCGTCTTGGGGGCGTCTGTGGCCGTTTGGAGGCTATCTTGGGCGTCTTGGACCGATCGGTCGACGACTCGGAGCCCTCTTGGACCGTCTTGGGGACTCTTGGGGCCCTGTAGGAGCGCTCTGGGGCGCCTGAAAGCCGCGCCCAGAAGGACAAACCATCTCTGGGTCGGACCGCCCGAGGTACTTTTCGTCCAGGCACCCCCAGGAGCCGCCCCGCGCGCGCGAACTAGAAATACTGTTTACCAGTAGCCGGAGATCTTAGCACGCCTCTGGCCCGCTGGGCCAGCGAAGTATCGCCACCTTCCTCACTGCGGCTCCCCCAGGCCAGGGGGCACGATGCGCCTCCTCCTCCTCCTCCTCCTCCTCCTCCTCCGCCTCCTCCTCCTCCTCTTCGTCCTCCTCGTCCTCCCCACCTTCCCTCTGGCGGCCCCTCCCGCCCCCCTGACGATTAGCGAGAGAGGCTTCTGCCGCGGGGCGCGCAGCCGAGCTACTGGCGCGGCTCGAGCGCGCGCCCTCGTCGGAGGAGATGGCGAGGACCCTTCCCGCGCCATCGTCGGCGTCGTCGTCGGCGTCGGCGTCGGCGGCCGCTGCCGCCGCTGCCGCCGCCGCCGTCGTCGTCGTCGTCGCCGTCGTCGTCGTCGTCGTGGTCGTCGTCGTCGTCGTCGTCGTCGTCGTCGTCGTCGTCGTCCCTGTCGTCGTCATCGTCGACTGCCGCTGGCGCTGACGCCGCCGTCGTTGTTGTCGTCACTCGTCGTCCTCGTCCTTGCGCTCGCTCTGCTTGTCGTGATCGTCGTCGGCGTCGCCTTCGCCGTCTTCGTCGTCATGGGGGCAGGGATGGGGAGGAGGAGGGGGAGGCGGAGGAGCAGATGGAATTGGATCGAGGGAGGGGGAAGGCAAGTCGCCCCGTTCACCAGGGTTTCCCGCATGATCCTCACTGTTGATCCCCAATGCCTTCCTCACGCTTGTTATCGTCTACTGTTTGCCAGAGTGCGCCGCAAAGAGTGTTTTTGTTGCACTCTCCATGTGCTGCCTTTCACGGTGCGATCGACGTATGTATTATGCGGGGTATGTAGTATACGATGCATATACGTGTGTGAGAGAGGATGTGTATGTATTGTGCGTACATGGCATATTCTCTGCAATGAACTATCTGAGGTCCGATACGCTTGGCAAACTAGATGTGGTATTTTTGAATGAGGGGGCCTAGCCCCTATTTTCACACGCTGCGTGGTGCAGCCAGTGTTTATCAAGGGGTGTGCTGCGCGCTGTGTTTAGCAAGCTCTGTGTTGCATCCGTTGATTTGCAATATGTGTGCGATTACCCATATAGTCTTTTATATATATATATACGTATATGTATCCATACATATATATATATATATGTATGTTTATGTATGTATAAATATATATTATGTATAGGTTTATCTAAATGTATACACCTCGACTTTCCTCCAGCAGTGCTTGCACTAGGGATTCTTGCTTCGGTTGCAGGCAGTTGCGCGGGTGTCGGCGGGCCTTCGCCTGGTACCCGACCGGTTGCCGCCCGTGTCCGCCCCGCGGGCGCCTCGCGCGCCGGGCAGGTGCGGCGGGGCCTCGCCCCTCGACGCGGTCGGACCCCCTCCCCCTCCCCCTCCTCCTCCCCCTCCTTCTCCCCCTCCTCTTCCTCCTCCTCCTCCTCCTCCTCCTCCTTCTCCTTCCACCTCCTCCTTCTCTTCCTCCTCCTCCTCCTTCTACCCCAACTCCTCCTCCTCCTCCTGACCCTCCTCCGCCGGAAGCGCCGGCCGGCCACCCGGGGGAAACCGACAGGTGCTGATACCGCTACAGGGAGCCCGTAGCAGCGCCCCGAGCCACCAGGGGTAACTCGGGTCAGGGCCAACTCGGGTTCGTTTTTTCGGGATTCCGAACCCGAGTTGCCCCGGGCCCGAGTTACCCCGGATAATTCCAGTCGGGCGTCCAGAGCCCCAAAACATCAGGGGTAACTCGGGTCAGGGCTAACTCGGGTTTGTTTTTCGAGACTCCCAACCCGAGTTGCCCCGTACCCAAGCTACCCCTGATAACTCGGGCGCCCAACAGTATAGTACAGTCAACGCGCATAGTAATAGGGGAGCGAAGAATGACATAAACAAGAAAACTCGGAGGTCCGCGCGCATTTCTCGGATCCGCGCTGGACCCCGCCGGCGGCGCCTCCTGCGCCGCCCCTGGCGAGCTCCGCGCACCAGGGAGGGGGGTTCAGCGTCGATCCGAGAAATCCGCGCGGAGCTCCGAGTTTTTCTGTTTATGTCATTCGTCGTTCCCCTAAGGAAGGGCGCGCGTCTTTTCTAGGCTACCCCTTGTGTCCTTTCCTCTGCGGCCCGTGCGGTGCTGTTTCCTCTGGTCCTCTTAGGGTGCCCCTGGGGTTTGGTCGCCCGCCGCCCCGAAAGATCCCAGCTTCGGCCTCCAAGGCTCTTGCGTCCTTGCCACCAGTCCTTCATATGCCTTTTCACTGCTAGGATGGGCGACCCAGGTTCACATGGGCCTCCAAGGCCCATGCCTCCTTACCGCGCATCCTCATGATACGGACTGACCGTGCTCCCCAGACCTCTCCAGGGGTGCGTTCGAGTTTTCTTGCCAGGGCGTTCAAGTGCCCCAGTTAAAAAAAAAGAAGAAGCCGTCCTCCATGTTCGATTCTGTTGCAAGCCTTGGAGGCGAGTGCGTGCTAGGCGCCAAGGTGACACCATGAGAAGGAGGAAAACGAGGAGGAGGAGGAGGAGCAAGAGGAGGAGGAGAGGAGGAGGAAGGATGGCCGCGCACGACGCATCCCATGGTCGAGAGAGAAAGAGAGAAAGAGAGAGAGAGAGAGAGAGAGAATGAGAGAGAGAGAGAGAGAGTGAGAGAGAAAGGGGATGAGGAGGAAAAGGGGGAGGAGGAGGAGGAGGAAGAGGAGGAGGAGGAGGAGAAGAAAGAGAAGCAGGAGGATAATGGGAGGAAGAGGACGAGGAAGAGGAGGAGGAGGAGGAAGAGGAGGAGGAGAAGGAGGAGGAGGAGGAGGGGGAGGAGGAGGAGGAGAGGGAGGAGGAGGAGAGGGAGGGGGAACCTCGCAGTGGTTGCAGAGTCTCCAGATTCAGGATGTTGAGTACTGCGGACGTCCCTGGCTGGGCATAATCGGCAGGGAGGCGCTTTTTCGGTAGAGAAGGGCTGCGCTGGGAACGAGAACGCCATGCTGAGCGACGGAGACACAGCGCCGATCCTGAAACGCAGTGGGAGCAGCATTGTTGAAAGGCCTATGACAATCCGAACGAGCAGGCGCATGGTAGATACAAAGTAGTGCACCCTTTTTGTGTGTACGGGTGTTCATGCCCTTCTCTCGCCGTCCTGCGTCGCTCCTCTGCATTTCCCTTCTGCTGCTCGTCTCGCGCCCGTGTTTCGTCCTTCTTCTCTGGTCGTCGGTCGCACTGCAGCAGCCGATGCTTGCCCGTTTCGCCCCCGCTCTTCGCTCTGAAGCGAGTCGCGATGGGTGGCGTCGCCAGGCCGCTCATGCCAGGGGGCGACCTGAATTGTGTTTGGGCGATTTCGTGGACCGTTTCCGTTCCGATTCCGTTTTGCAGCAAGAGCGGATTTAAGACAAACCAAGGAAGGCCGAACAAAACAACGAAAACGAACACCCTTTAGGTCGATTCTTGGCTCCTGCGTCTTTTTGGCAGCGTGTTCGCACCCCGCAGCACACGTCGGCCTCCTCTTCTCCGTGCGTGGGCTCCCGCCCGCTTTTTTTCACGCGCCAGAGCCACGTCCTGACTGAGCACCCGCAGAGGCTTGGTCCGCTCTCGACCCAGGCCCCCGACGTCGTGATTTGTTCACGACGCCGACCCCGAAAGGTCTGGACCCCTTCCTCGGTACCGACTCTTCAGCCTGAGTCAGCGTTCACGGTCCCGGGGCCTGGCAAGTGCCCCCGGAGGCGGAACATAGCGAGAAATTTCCCGTCGTGATTTTTCACAACGCGAGAGGGTCTGCGAGTTTCTCAGCATTGTCGGCCTCTATGGGGACCCCCACCTGGCCCAGGGACCTCCGGCCTGGTCGTGGATCCCCTCCCCGGGGCCGACTTCTCGTCCCGAGTCGTTTGTTTGACGGTCCCCCGGGCCCGGCGAGGCCCCCCGGAGGCCGGGCAGATAACGAAGAGCCTCCTGCGGCGTGATGTGTGTTCACGGCGCGGACGGGGTCTCTGGGGATGTCGGGGCGTGCCCCCCCCCGAACAACAAAAAAAACTCGCCTGCGCTGGGTCCACGGGCCGCGAAGTGAGAAAGCTCGCGCGTGTGTGTGTGTGTGTGTGTGTGTGTGTGTGTGTGTGTGCGCGTGTTTTGCGGTCTCCTCCTCTCCCCCGCCGTCGCCGAGCGCCTCCTCTCCTCTCGCGCACTGCGGCTCAATGCGCATCTGATCGTCCAACATTTGCCCTTCGCCAGCGCAGTCACTCTGCCTAGCCGCCGATGGGAAGCGCGCGTGTGTCTGTGTGTGTGTTTGTGTCAAAAACGATGCCCAGGAAAGGCGGGGGCATCGCTGCGCAGTGCCAGACGGGCGACGCCACAAAACTGGATCATCTGCGCCGACACTGTCGCGTAAGCTGCCCGCGTGAGGTCGCTCGTGAGTGCCCTCGCTTCACATGTGGTGTGCCGCGCTGGCGGTCGCGTGTAAGTCACCACCTGAGGTCGGTGTATCGTCTCGCGTCAAACCAGCGATGACCGTCGCTCAGATGAGAAAGTGCAGCTTTTTACCCCGAGCTGAGCGCGCTCGGGCCACTCCTGACATCCAGCCGCTTGCTCCCCCGCCCCCTCTCGCTGCGTTCCGCACAAGTCCGTGCTCCGGTGGCCACGTGGTGCCTGCCTGGAAAGGCTGGGGCCACCCTGTGCCAATGCCAACTCTGGCCACCGTCGGCCCGCTGGGTCGCGTAGGGCGCCCCCTCCGCCCTTCCCCGTCTCCGTTCCCCTCCCAACGCCCATCCTCTGCCCTCCCGTCCCCCTTTGTCCGCCCCTCCCCCGCCCTATCCTATCCTCTCCTCTCCTTCCAGGGGAACGAGAAAGACTCGAGTTCTCGCCAGAGCGCAGGTTCGCCGACGCTTTTGCGGAGCTCATCCCGGATGTTGACGGTCTTGTTCTCGTGGGATGGTTGCAGCACGAGTTCGCTCCAAATTTGGGTCTCCTCATTTTCGTGACGGCCTTGCCAGATGCCAGACCAATGCGAGATCCCCGAACCCGAGTCGTACGTCTCCTCGATCCTTCTCGCGCATGCCCAACCGCCGGAGGCCTTGGCCAGCGCCCTTCCCCTCCGTTGATATTTTGGCTCAGGTCATTGCGGCCTTCACTGTTGTGGCATTCTTCCAGGCTGCTTGTGATTTCTCCGGTGTGTCCCAGCGCTGAGAGCCCCAAATCTGTGCAATTGCTGGTCTCGCTTCCAGAATGTATGAAGCAAACGTCAATTCCAAAAATGCAGTTTTGAACCCTCAGGCTAAGGGTTCTGACCTCCAGAACGCCGGATTTGGAACTGACGATTTTGGAGATTTTGGGCCCTCTGGAGAGCCCCAAGTTTCCTGATATGGCATCTGAGGAGCCTGCGACAAAGAAGGCGAAGACTGGCGAGGAGTCGTACTACAAGGTCATTGACGGGGTCCGGTACGACCGCGCTCTGCTAGAGGCTGCTGAGGGCTTCGCCGCAGATGGGCAGGTGGGCTATCCAGAGGCCAGGAAGCTCTGGAAGAACGCCCAGGACGGCGCGGGCGTGACGGACATCGAGAAGGCGACGCTCGAGTACGCCATGAAAGTCTACAAGTTTTCGGAGCCCGCCAGGAAGTTCATGACCACCTACCTGGCCGCAGGAAAGCACAGGTCCTACTACAAGACGGTGAGCAACGTGCAGTACGACCGTGCCCTGCTGGAGGCGGCCGAGAAGGCAGCGGCCGACGGCCAGATCTCGTGGAGGGAGGCGAAGCAGCTTCTGGAGGACGCTTCCGACGGGAAGGGCATGACGGGTACGGAGAAGGCCACCCTGGAGTACGCCTTGAAGACGTTCAAGTTCACGGACAAGGCCCGGAAGTTCCTGGAGGGCGGACTCCGGGTCGAGAAGCCCGCGTCCTACCCAGCCGCCTGCGGCCGCCCCGTGGCGCCACCGTGCCAGCGCAGCATCGCCGCAGGGGTTGGGTTCAGTTGCAGACCCGCTCCAGATCAGTGCCCTGTGAGGACTGGCGCGTGTCTCAACACCCCTTCCAGTCCTCGCCCTCGGCATCGTTTTCCTAAAATCCTCCCCGGTTTCTCGCTGCTTCCTTCTTATTCCCCCCGAATTCCTTCCTGCCCCCTCCCTCTTCAATGCGGCTTGGAATCCTTGTTGGGGCTTACTTGGGACCTCGTTCCTGTTTTCCTCGCTCACGAGACGCTCGAGGGCCATCAGGAGTCTCGAGGCCGTCTAAGGGCGCGATGGTTTTTCCGAGGTCTCCCAATTTGGGGAAACCATTTTGGGAACGTCTGGCGGATCTTAGGGCTGTCTTGTAACCCTCCTGGGGAGGTCTTCGGCCGTCTTGGGGGTGTCTCGGGCAGTCTTGGGGGTCTCGACGAGTCGTATTGGACAGTCTAGGGAACTTATGTATGCTCTCTGAAGCTTTCCCGATGCGATCTTAAACCGAAAAGCCTCATAATCAAATCGATTGAACGCCAGCTTCTCCGTTGTTCTTTGGCCCCCTCGGGCCTCGCTGGATGCCTATCTTGGTGCCTGGTGGGGGCCTCCCAGAGGCCCTCGACAGGCCTTCTGGGAGCCTTGTGGCAGGTCGTTCGGTCATCCGGGGGGAGGAGAAGGAGGAGGAGGAGGAGGAGGAGGAATCATAATCATAATACAAATCACACGGAAACTAAGAGTAGTAATACTACTGATACAATTGATGTCACTACTAATTCGAATACTAATGCGAATAAAAGGGAGACGACTACGAATAGCAATCATCATACTAATAAGAAGACGGTTCATAATACTAGCAACAATGATCAGGATATTGAGAAGGGGGAGGAGGAGGAGGAGGAGGAGGAGGAGGAGGAAAATGAGGAGGAGGAGGAGGAGGAGGAAAAGGAGAAGGAGGACGAAGCGAGAAGGACAAGGATGAGAAGGAGGAGGAGGAGGAGGACGAGGAAGAGGAGGAGGAGGAAGACGAGGAGGAGGAGGAGGAGCACTACATCTAGGTCAGGTCGTGTCTTTGGGCATCCTGGTCCGTTTTGACATCGACCAGGCCAGGAGCAGCGGTCTCCTTGGGCATCCTGCGGCTGTCTTTGGGGAGCGGCTTCTGGTCGACTTTGGGACCTCGGTCTGCCGCCAGAGGTGCCCAGAACCATGCGCATTCCTGCCCCTCCGGGCAGCTGGTTTGCGGTGTGCGTGGCAGCTGTTTCGGTCAGGGGCAATCGGAGGGGATGCACATTCCGCAATCGCCCATTGATCGCCGATAGGGGTCTGATAGTCCCACCCAGCCCAGGAGCGTGCGGATTTGCGATCGCTGCTTCTGCGGGCAAGATGTCTATCCATATCCAGTGCGTCTTGGACTTTCTGGGAAAGGGGCGCCAAAAGTCCGAGGCGCACTGGATATGGATAAGGATCGAACCTCTGGGGGCTCTGGGGCCCGATTTTTTATCCATGGCCGTGCCCGGGGCGGAAGCCGAGGCATCTAGAGTGCAGTGATTCTTGCAATTCATGCATCCGTCAGCCATTGTGTTGTACGCCTTCTGGCAAGCTGCCGTGTCCAAGTCGCCCATCTTAGAACGCAGACCTGTTTCAACAATCTACAGGAAATTACTAGTTTTGGCCTCTCGGGGTACTCGTCGGGGTCCTCTTGGAGCCTTCTTGGACCGACTTTGGGGCCTCTTGGGCCGTTCGCAAAGCCTCTTGGGCCTCCTGATACCCCTCGGTTGTCTTGGGGTCAACAAGACCCTCACGATACCCGAAGACGACTCCAAGAGGATCCCCAAGAGGGCCCTGAGAGGCGAATACCGTCCCATTCCCTGTGTGTTCACCATCTTTGCTCTGATAGTCTCAACAGCGTCCAGGTCGGCCCAAGCCCCCCCCCAAGATCGCCCGAAGAGGGGCGAAAATCACCCCAAGCGAGCCCCAAGGAGGCTCCAGAAGGCCCCCAGGCAGCGCAAGAGTCGCCCAAGAGCGTCCCAAGAGGGCCCCAAGAGAAGCCCAAGAGGGGGAGCTCGAACTGACAGTTCGAGCCCTCCGCCCGAAGAGGACCCCCGAAACTGCCACTAGGTCCTTTCGGATCCCCAAAGGGGACCCCAGAGACCCCCGTGACACTCCAAGGAGGCCCCCAACGGACGGAGGGCCCACTAGACTTTAACACTGTTTCCACGAGGCTCCCCAGAGACTTCGCGGGAGACCCCAGCAGGCGTCCGAGAGGATCCTGTTCCACAGCCCAGGAGCGGTGGCAGGCTGGGCCGACAGCCATTGGGAGTGGCACGCGCAGCGGACACAGAACTCATTGCCCAGGTTTTGCATGATGTCGGTGCTCTCCAAAACCACCCGACGACGACGACGCGTGAAGTTACGACCTTGTCAAAGGCTCGAGGCGCGCTAGGACCTAGGCGCGCGCGAAGCGCGCGCGCGCGTGATTCTTTGTGTATGTGCGTGTGCGTGCGTGCGTGTGTTTCCCGCTTCTCCGACCTTGCAACGCCCTGTCGCTGCGAGAGGGGCCGCGACGCCAACAAGTGCGTGAGTGTGGGGTGTATGTTGTGTGTGTGTGTGTGCGTGCGTGCGTGCGTGCGTGCGTGCGTGCGTGCGTGCGTGCGTGCGTGCGTGTGCGTGTCCGTGTGTGTGTGTGTATATGTGTGTGAGCGTGTTTGTGCGTGCGTGCGTGCGTGCGTGTGTGTGTGTGTGTATGTATGTGTGTGTATGTATGTGTTTGTGTGTGTGTCTCTCGATGGGTGCGCGTTCGAGTGCGAGCGTGCTTGTCCGGAGTGAGGAGGGATTGCGTTTTGAATACGTGTCTATATATGTGTAGTTGTATATGTTCATATATATATATATATATATTTATGCGTGTGTGTGGTGTGCGTGTTTATGTGTGTATGTCAATCGGTGTGTGTGTGTGCGTGTGTGTGTGCGCGTGTGCGTGCTCGTCTGGAGGAGGTCGGAGGGAGTGCATGTGACGATGTGTGTGTGTGTGTCTATGGGTGCGTATGTGTTTGCGCGCGCTGGTCCCGAATAGGGAGGAGGGAGTGCATTTTGAACATGTGTATGCGCGTTGGTGTGTGCGTGTCTGTGATGTTTTGATGGGAGCAGCCTGCGTGCAGCACGCAGTGTACGGCGACCGGGAGCGCGGGTGCCACACGGAGTGTATCTGTCTATGTATATATTTGTATATATATAGATGTAGATATAGGTCTATGCATATGTGCGTGCGTATGGCGCAGGTAAGGAAACTTCTGAACTTCAGAGATGGCCCGCTCCGATACTGAAGCGGACTCTGTTTGGAGCATTTTGCTCGGAAATTCGTCGCGGAGGGGCGATGTCTGTTGCTTGCGGCACGTGGGGGCATCGCCGCCAGAGGAATGTTCTCGTACAATTCGATCTTCGTTCTGACGCTCCACTACGTATCGTGCAAGCGCGGTGGAGGATTACAGGAGCGTCGGCGGTAAGAAATTCGATCACGCGCTCCTGCTCGAGTTCGAGGAGGCCGCGAAGGACGGCGTCATCAGCAAGGCAGAAGCGCAGCGCCTGTGGGACGTCGCCCAGGACGGCAAGGGAGTGACGGAGATAGAGAGGGCGACCCTGAAGCACGCGCTGGACTCTGGCCTGTGCACGGGCCCTGCCAAGGCTCTCTTGGAGGAGAAGCTCGGGCTCAGCTGACCTGCGGGCTCCAGTTGTTCAGCCGCTGCTGCATGCTCTTGTGCCGCTGCTGGCTCGGAGGCCCTCTGTCAGCGGTGGTGCGTGGGCAGCTCTCGGGGAGGCACCCCCCAGGGTGGCACCCCTGTTGTATAGTCGGGCTGCTGTCCCGTTGAGGTCAGCTGACCTGCGGACGTGCCGCCCGCCGAGCAATCGTTTTACCAGGTCCCAGGCGTGCGCAGCGATCAGAGCGGTCAGAATCAGAAGGGGGTGCCTCCTGGGACTGCCTCCCCCCTCAATTCCCCCCCTGCTTCCCAGAAAAGCCGGTGTCTCCTTCCTCGTATTAGTTCCTGTCCTTCCCTTCCCTTCCCTCCCTTCCTCCATCCCCTCTTCATCCTCGCTCCTCACTTCTCCTCTGCTTCTTCTTCTTCTTCTTCTTCTCCGTCCTCCTCCTCCTCCTCCTCAGGTCACTGGCACTCCTTATCCTCCTCCGTCTCCTCGTCCTCCTCCTCCTCCTCCTCCTCCTCCTGCTCCTCTTCCTGCTCCTTTTCCCATCCTGCCTTCCCCCTCCTGCGCAGAGCCAGCAAGCCCTCCCCCAGGGTTGCCCATCCCCTTCTCCTTCTCCACGTCCCGTTCCTCCTCCCCTTCCACGTCCTCCCCTTCCTCCTTCCCCCACCTCCCCTCACCCGACCCTGACATCCTCACCCTCCTCATCCTCGTCCCTCTCTTCCCACCCCCCTCCCAGGAAGAGAAGGGAGGAGGGATGGTCGAAACAGAGGAGGGAGGAAGAGCAGGATGAGGAGTAGGAGGAGGAGGAGGAAGAGGAGGAGGAGGAGAAGAAGAAGGAGGAGGCGGAGGCGGAGGCGGAGGCGGAGGCGGAGGAGGAGGAGGAGGAGGAGGAGGAGGAGGAGGAGGAGGAGGAGGAGGAGGAGGAGGAGCGAGGAGGAGCGGTTCGGAGCGGGGGCGGAGGCGGAGCGGAGGCGGAAGAGGAGGAGGAGGACGAGGAGTGAGGGTATTAGTCGTAGGAGGAGGAGGAAGAGAAGACGAACACGAAGACGCATATACTAAAGAAGAATAAGAAACTGAGGAGGAAGAGAGGAAGAAGAGGAGCAGGAGGAGGAGGAGGAGGAGGGGTGAATGATGCTGCTGCT